ACAAGAACGACATAAATAGTTGGGAATAACAACATAAAACCAACAGTCCTCCTGTCTCATAAAGTGTCTTACAAAATATGAATATGATTGTACCTACCTATATATTTTACGGAACTCATTTTCCTTCTTTGTTGACAGCACGAAAACTATTCCGTGTCGGTTAGTTAGTTCTGAAACTTGTTTGGTATATAAAGCGGAAAATCTACTCTATTTTTTGACAAGATTTTTGCAGCTTTGTTGGATATTCATAATGTAAGCTTCTTAAGTTAAGAAAATATGTTTTTGGGACTGAAATGTTTGATACTGAGATTTCTTTTTTATCTCAGACTGATTATTTCGAAAATGAAAAACCAATTACAATTTTGTCTGACCCATGAATCGTATCCGGAATCCTTTGCTTGGCAGCTGCACTTTCGACAATTTGATCAACGTCCTCGAATGACAAACCCAATAACGTACGTAGATCTTCTTTATATGTTCTGTGGTATGTACGTACTCGTTTAGTTGCCAAACATAAAGTATTCACTCCTAACTTTAAAAGCTATACATATATAGATAATACTATTTCGATAATTGTCATTCGATTATAATGGATTGGTACTCACAAAAGGGTGTCGAGTCACAATAAAACCCCAACGAATATTTGATATATATGGAGGACATCTCGATGGCGTCGTTGTGATGCTCGTTCGATATTCCTCTCGGTAGGAAGTTAGCTGGCTCATCAATCATCAACGCTCCACTCTCAAATTGCTTGATTTCCTTTCTCCTAAATTAGATGTGAGCAACGTGTTTTAATCGACATTTATGTTTTTTATTTTTAAATCTATGAAGTTACCGTTAGTTTTGTTACTAACTGGTTTTTATAATCTATTAATGATGCTTGGAGCAGGTGCATGAACGTGGTGGGGGCTAAAGAAGTATTTAAAGATCGCGGTTTCAGGTTTCTATCATCCTTTAATTTACTTTTGAAACATTTACAAGAAATACTTTATTCTTTGAAGAAAGAACCAGAAACTTGTTGCCCTAAAAGTAACTAAGTAGAAGAACAGAGTGACATTGGTTTCCACCCCATCGGTTTAACATTCACATCTTTAATAAACAAAAAGATAAATTATATACCCAGTAAAATACAGCAAAGTTCGTAAACTCAGCGTTTAGAATTTGACGTAGATATTATTATCAACTTGTGTTGGCACAATGTCTTCAGGCTCCTCTCGTAATTTTCTTATCGCTTCGTTCGCAAATAATGCTTTCATGTTGATTGTATTTGTTTATTCTATTGTGAAGTGAAACGTTGGGCGTACAGCGATACTATTATGTTCCTACACAATCCAATCACAAAATTACCGTAATCTATTCATTTGTTACAATAAATAAAACTTTTAATCTATTTCTCGCTTCGTTAAGTTTCATTCACAAATAATCTATGTATATTATTTCGCAAGAGATTGTTCACTGCTGCATAATCGGATTTTCTCGGATTTGTCCACATAAATCGAAACGAGTGGAATGAAACTGGATTAGAGAGTCCATTGAAACTGTTTTTTAAATTCAGCAAAGCGGTGTTAGTATAGAGCTCACGATGAAATGTTGCAATACTATTTATTATACATGAGAATACTTCTCTCGCTTCGATTTATTGAACAAGCACTTGTAGGGACATAAATTGAATTGGATGCAGATATTTTACCGTTATAGGTGGTATCGGTGTTGTGGACTCGTTGCAGTTTGTTGTCCATCATTTTTTTATAAAACTCGATTTTATAACTATTTCACACTATTAGCTCATAACTATAATAATAGAGATCAACTTCACTGCCGCCTACCATATATTACCCTTACTTACACATACTTAACGCAACCAAGGCAGTTGGAATATTTTTCCTCAACCATGAATTCTCATTATTTCATGAAAAAAACGAGCATGTGCTAAATCCAGCAGATTAGTTAGTGTCGTGTGGATGCTTACACAGATATTGACTTTGCGACCCACACAGCTGCCCTCATCCTTCCATGATAATGGTAATAAACGACGCCATTTATTTCTCTGATTATATCGCGAAGAACTCTCGGAAGCCTTCCTTTACTCCATGTAACACAATTTTTCCTCATTCCCTTAGTTTTATAAAAATAAACAACCGTCGGATATACTGCACGTTTAAAAAGAAACTATCTGCAATTTAGCTCGTATTTTATTTCAAGCACCTCTTTAGCATCAATATTGTATGCGGAAACAAAACAGAAAGTCGGAAGAAACGTAAATGTACCAGTTTTAGTAGCCGTAGAACAAAGTCTGTTGTAGACTTGCCGTCTCGTAGCGCTACGCCGTAGTAACGCTGGCAGGTTGCTACAACCATCAACGAGGCAAACTTTCTGTATCCTGTCAGTCATTATTCCGAAGTTGAACTCAAGTTGAACTACTTTAGACAGCTGACAGCTTGGTAATGAGTTTGCGAGCTAAAACAAAAACTTAAATCACTACAAGTGAATGTTTGTCTAAAACAAAAATTGTGTATACGTCGAAGTGTGTAATTAAGTAGAAGGACCACCAAGACACTTTCAAGAGCTAAACTTAACACCCCATTACTCAGCACTGTTAAATAAAGTTGCTTTATTTAACTTAGTAAAATCTGGCAACTTTGTTGTAACACTATTCTTTCATTATGTTTCAAGTTTAATTAAAACATGGACATAATAAACATCATTATAGTCATTCAGTGGAAATTGTAATTTGACTTTATTTACTATTATTCGTTACTAAACAACGTTGAAGAAATATATGTAAGTACTTTATTACGTTACACTTTTTGCTCAAGCAGTTGCAGAAGAGCGTACAATAAGTACGGCAATAACTAACTGCTATTAAACATCCGTCCCACACTTTTATTGCCTACAAACTCACACTGCCGTGTTGTGACCAATTTTGTGTAAGAAACGTGACACCATTTTATTCACTTTATATTTATGTAATTCATTTGAAGTCGACAAACACACGCCCCTATTAATACTCAGGTATCGTTAAAGTTTATTCAATCGTACCTAGTCAAATATAATATTTGTTCAGGTAATTTATAATCGAATCTCTTTAGATATATCATTAGAAAAGTGTATGATAAAATATTTGAGTAGATAGTATAAAAGTGGCTGTGTTACCTAATGACAAAGTAATTTGTGCGCTACGTGCTGAAGACTAATGTGATCGTCTTGGTTTTAATTAAACGGACATGCCGCAAACATTTACGAATACATTGTAAGGTTTTTCATAATTAAATCTTCTCACTTTCTGCATTTTGTGAAAAATACAAATCCGTTCTTGTAGACTGGTCGTATTAATTTATAACAGACTGAACATTCAATTACTTACCAATTCATTTCAATATTACGTAACAGGCACTAAACTGGAATAGTTTCTTCATTTCTTAGTCGATCTTTTATTATTCACATGAAGGGAAAAATAGTAAAAGCGTTTTAATGTCGTGTGACGCACCTCACCTTTCATTTAAATACGTTAGCTATTCCCGGGATAGAGCGAGTACTTTTACGACCAACGTGGAAGTTTCATCTGCATTGCAAATGATACCAGCATCGATGCATCCCGCGCCGTACCGGGGAAATGTCATAAGTGTCTTTACATGGACCTTTTTTAATATGTGATATGTATTATTTATAGTCTGACTTTTATGAAATGCCACGTGTTAATTACTGCTGCGTTCTATTGCTAGAGACTATAAGTTCTATTTTTTAGCTAGACGAAGATTTATTTTAAAGGTTGATAAAAAATATATGTCTTGTATTTTTATCAGAACAAAAATCAAATAAAATGTAGTTCTATAAATATTTCTATTTTATCAATTTATAGAAAAACCTAGTAGACGTGTTTTTGAGTACCTACATCAAGATCTAATCTCAATCACGTTAGTCTACGTTATGATGGGCGATAAAAAAATTACTTTAAAAACTACTCAGAGATAAGAACCAAATCGTAGAAAATTTAAGGACGTGTAATAAAGTTGAGATGGCAACGTCGATTTAGGCTAGAACTAAAATTAGACTAGAGTTACATTAGTTCATAAAACTTATATTAGATTCGTTACATGATTATTGAACAATAATAGGAAGTTTAGTAAGGCAATCACGTAAAAATCCAACTTATTATACTAATAAATCAGTTTACGGAAACTGGCGTTGTAGGTGGTTTTTCTTAGAATAAATTGTGTGAATATAGCGGAAAAATCGCGCGCCTCGAAGTAGTTACGAGAATTCGCACATCGAGTGCGGGTCAATCGTGCGAATACGGGCGTATAGTTCCGACTTCAAGAGTCAATCCAAACTTATTGGAATGATTCGTGCGTATCTAATGATACATACATATTTATGTACACAAGTAAGACCCGGTCTTGACACGTCACGAAACATAAGAAACATGTCTATTTAGATACTCGTTCTAAATCTATTCAATTTAGTAGGAGTGCTCAGCATGGGCCTCTGAGCGGCGGGTCCTGGTTGCCAAGATCGGGCGAGACCTGTCTCTGCCAGCGGTAGTTAAGGCTATGCTGGCAGATACAGTAAATTGGAGGAAAGTGGCGTCCTTTTGTGAGACTGTAATGTCCCAAAAGGAAGCTGGTGAGCGGGGTCGCGAGACGGCCAATCCTGCTCGTAGAAGGAGTCGAGGAGGTAACCACCTTGACGCCTAACACGCCGAAATCCCGCTTGCATAAACTTCAGGCGGCCACCGAGTTGGTTTTAGTGAGGTAAAAATCCCATACTCTTCCGTCTTTTATCCCCAAAAAGGCTAGGCGCCTTTTGAAGGTTACCCCCGTCATAAAAAAAAGGTGGGGACTACAATTTTTTTGCATTTACCTAATATCTTGTACATAAAACACAACAAATGTGGCAGGGTGCATTTATTTCAAACGATCGTGGTACCTATGTCACTCACAAAATAATGTATTGCATACATTGAAGAACAATGAAAACATTTAAAATATTTGAATAGCTTAATTAAGGGTTAGCATTTGAGAATGTTGCGTGATATGCATGCGGCCCTGTCGTGCGGCAGGCTCGCTTCGTGCACGCATCTTGCATCGAAGCAGTTGTAGAGTATTCTCCCACAATTTAGTCTGCTCCTCCACAGCACCCTGCCGAGAACTGATGGCTTGTTGCTCCTAAAAATATATATCAAATACGTCACAAATACACATCGAGTACTTATGATTATAAATAGAATAAGATTTGTCAGGCTGATAAAAAGATTTTTGTGAACAAAAAACAGATTTGTAAATCTGATTATACATCGATCAATGATAAGACAATCACAAGTGTTTTCCGGTCATTAAAAGATTTGTCTGTTACCTACGTAAAGCCCAAGATAAAAACATTATATGCCTACCTCCTCTAACCGCTTTACAATTTGTTCCATGTCATCAACTTTTCTCTTCAGAGCCTCCATTTTGGACGGTTTCCTAGGGGACTGCATTGAATTTTTCATTTCAAACGTTACGACTTCTTGTAAACTTTCCGCCTTTGTGATTCTTTGTCGTAAGTTTTTCCATTCATCCTCCTTGCTATTCAGCCGGTCAGTCAACTCCTTTACCTGATTCTTCAGAGGCTCCATTTGTGAGGTTATGTTGATGGATGTGGCTTCGTAAACCCTTTTCTTTTGCTCGTACTGTTGTTGTACAGCTTGGAATTCTTCCTTTACAGGCTTTATATTGTCAGCGAGAGGTTGAATCTCTTGTCGGACTTGCGACAATTTTTGTGCAGTTTGAGCTACGAGCTAGATATCAGTAAAAGTTTTCTATTAATATTTTATATATATAGTGTACGTTCGCCTGTTCGCGTACGTATTACAGAACGCGAACATTTCAGAAAATAAGAAAACTACCACAACGTTAGTAGGTTACTACCTACTAACGTTGTGGTAACTACTGTTAGTACACATCGTACTAACTACTACTAACGTTGTATGTTTGATCTTACATGTTTTCAGTATCTTACATACATTCATAGCGAACTTTTGTGGTTAGATGTGATCAGGCGAACTTACCCTACTGAAAGCGAATTTAAATACCATACATAGGTTTTATTTGTTTATTATACGCCTACATACGAATTTCATTGTAAATATAATTATAGATAGGTACTTTTAAAACATTAGGTAATTATTAGCCTCACCTGAGATAAGTCATGTAAGGACTTTTTCGTCAAATCTGTAGATTTATCAAGACTCTTTTCCATTGTATCTTCATCTTCTATTTTTAACTTCTTGTGATTTAAAAGCGCCATCTCGACAGTCGGATCAGCAGCATTTATAATATGTAACGTTCGAGCCAAGATACCCGCCTCGACCTATGTCCCCAAACCAATTTAAATGACAACATTATAAACGGCAACAGTAAATAAAAAATAAGCTTCAGAATCAAATAAAATAGGTAAGTATTTACCTTGAACGTAGAGAGATTGGCTCTTTGCCTTTTGTACACAGTGCTCTTTGTGCGTAAAGAATTAACGTATTTCTTTAATTCTTCTCCCCTGAGGACTGTATCTCCCAAGAGTTGTCGGACCTGAATAAATACGAAAACATTATTTGACTAGTTTTGGTAAATTCGTACACAAAGAAACGACTTAACAAAATAAAAAGAAAAGCAGTAAATACCACCATATTGTCTAAAAATATAGATACAAACAATACAATAAATGATAAATCACACAACAGCATTTTGTTCAATATCGATCTCAAAGGAAATAGCACATTATCTCAATGGAAACTCCCGCTTCTCGACGTAATGACCGATTATCTGAGATGGGGAAAATGTTTTATCTGATTGCCGTGTCGTATTCGAAACATTCCGACAACAGCCTTGGATTTCGATTAAATCCTGACCAACGTTCACCGGCACCCTATCAAAACTGTGAAATACTATCCAATTTACGCAAAGGCCACGGATAACGTAAGAGGAAAAATGTATTGAGAAAATACATGCAATAAGTACAAATAAAGGAATGATATTTCACTTCGGATTTTTCATGTTTAAGGTTGCCTTACTTTACTTACATCTGGACCATCATGATGAGGGTCAGGCTTACAGCTAAAATACCTTCTAATGAGAAGTTTATGTAACCTGCTACTGACAGCGCTTAGTACAGTACCTTGGTACATTTTTCTTTAATACGGAGTAGGTACCTGTGACTGCAGGTCAGCTAGCGTAGCTTCATGGTCCTTTAAGGTGGCAGCAAGCTCATGAACTCTAGTAGCACTAGCCTCCTTGTTTCGTCGTATGACCGCGGCCTGTTGTCTGAATGGAGCCAATTTGTCTTCTTGAGGCCCTGCTGTTGCTAGCTTACGCTGGACTAGATGTTCCATTTCACTATTAACTGCAGCTATCTATAATTTTTAGATAGAAATAAATGTTCGTAACTTGATACCTAATAATAAATTAATTAATAAGTAAAACGTTGGTTTATAATTCGCCCAACTTGAAACAAACCTGAAACACGTTTATTTAAGTATATCAAGTCTCTCAATTTGTATTTTATATGAGGCATTTTTGCGGTCTCGCGATGCCTTTGAAGTTCGATACGAACTCAACATTTACTAAGTGTAGAGATTTATCTACATGTGTTTTTTAACCATTAGAATATACATTTGGTAATCAAATTTACCTTGTCCTGCACCGCTACTAAGTCGGAACGGGTCGGATGTTGTTCGGCGGCGATTTTCTGCATAATATTCAACTCCTTTTGGAGATTGGCTGTCTCTAATGGAAGCTTTTCCTTTACTAAATAATTGTTAAGCTAAAACACAAAACATTCGATGTTCTTTAATTAAATACTATTCCTAAATATGAAGATTTGATTACGATAACCGTCAGTAACTTACCTGAACTTCTTCTTGTAGACGTTTCATTACATCATTTACAGTTTTCGGAGTAGCACTCTGACCATGAATGACGTTCAGATATCTTTTTAATTGATCAGACGCCATTTTTAACTGTGATTGCTGGGCATCGTACTGAAAAAGATTTGATTAAAAAATGGAGTTGCGTTGGTATAAATGACTAAAATAACAAGTTAGTTCTACTAATCCAAAATTACGTTTCTTTTACCTGATTTTCGAGCTCTTTAGCCTTTTCTTGCTGAACTCTGAGTGCTCTACTAATATTCAAAAGCTCCTCTTTGTCATTTACGTCCACTAAATTAACTTGTACGTTTTCCAATCTCTTTATCACTATAATGTCAATTACAGAAACAGATTTAAAGGTTAATCGATTAGATTTATAACGAAAGTCACATCGAGTTATAGATAAAGTACGTAGGAAGTTCATGATAATGTCTATCTTTCCACAATATAATAAGTATTATTTTTGTAACTTACCGATATCCCTTTCAAGTGCCATTTCCTTGATATCATTAATTATTTCCGTGGCATTCTCTTTCTGCAGCAACCGAGTTCGTTTGTGAACTTCTTTAAACTCATCGATTAAGTTCTGGTAAAGATCAAGAAGATCCTGAACGGTGTTGTTTCTTGCTACATCTGGCGGTATGTCTGGCAATTTTAAATATCTAAAAAGTGACCAAATCTTACGATTATGATGTTATAATCAAAACATAGTCACAGATTTTATTCTAACCACAGTTATTATTTCTTCAGTTAGCAACTACCTACTGATTAATATCCAAATATACTTTTTTTGATTATTGTATAAAGAAACCAAACTTCACGTGTAATTAAATGAATCCTTTCAATTACAACGCTATAAAAAGAGAAATACCATTACATTTGACACAAACAACAAACAACTGGTTATGCGCTAGGAAGAGAGCTTTCATACATTGTATGATCCAGTCACGTATTACCTAACTCGGTCGTAGCAATTCCAGTTAATCTATAACTGCTGTACCTAATTCGTTTTCCCGAATATACCCGAACAGCTATCGGTAAATGAAAGCTAAGAGAAAGTTAGCCAACCATTCAGTACAACAAGGTACCTACCTAGTTCGATATATTGCCTATATTGGGTGACATCCAGTCCATATATTGTTTTAACAACATCTAACTAGTTAGAGACGCAATCGATTTATAGGTATTAGGTATAGGTACCTATAAATTATTACCTATTGTATTTTTTTATTTTATAAGGGGTGAAAATCATCGAATGACTGCTCCCGTCTGGGTGAGGCGGTAGGGAGTGTCAGACTCTTACTGACTAAAAACCACCCCGTTCCTTCTCCTGCACGTCGAGGCGGAGGCCCGGTTACCCGTTAGGTTCTCCACGACTTACCTATTGTATTGCTTTTGGAAACTAATAACGTTCGATGTTACCGACATCTTACCTTAGATTTTGTTACTTACTTTGCAAGATATGCGGTGTTCTTAACTTGGTCTCTGTTAGTCAAGAGCCAGTGCAGCACGTGATGAATAGTCCTCGCGTCGCCGGCTAACAGCTGAGCTCTGAACCGAGTCGGCTCCACCCCTCCTGGAGGACGGTACTTCACGCTCCCCAACATTTCTAGCAGACGTAGCGATACTGTTTCCGAGTCATCTTCATTTACGTCTAACTATAAGGTCAAACAGGACGATTATAAATTATACGACAGGTCGATAGATACAGTAAAACTGTGAAATGATCTATTGTCGACCTTGAAGAAAATGGCGTATTCCTTTTTAAAAGGCCGGTACCGCACCTATGACTTCTCTAGTATTCCAGGTGTCCATGGGCGGTGCTGATCGCTCACCATCAGGTGAACCGTCTGCTCATTTGCCTCCTGTACCATAAAAAAACCTACGAATATCTATCTATCGATTCTTACCATGGAATTTTAAAAACTAGATTCTTACTAACGATGTCTAGATACCTACCTAAATTACTGAATAATATTTTTGTCCTTGCATATCATAATACACTTCCGGACACCTAAATCGAGCCAGCCACCGCCACACAGTACAATATAATTATTGAGGCAGAAAGTTATTATTTACTAGATATTAGATATAAACAAAAACCTTTTCTCCAGCATTGAAATTAACAAGAAGATCCACTAGCAACTGCAAAAGTTGTTTCTCGTTCAAAGCATCGAATTTTATCAGATCATAGTTTCTCCCCAACGTCGCATTTATTTCTTTCACTATATACTTCATTTGCTCCGACATTTTACACAATGTTAGCTAAAAGATTCACTTAAATAACCACAGAAATAAAGAATGCAAAATTCAACAGGATTACTGCTATGAAGGTCGAAGTTTCGTTGACATCAGACGTTGCCATGGAAACCCTGTAAGTAGGTACAACATGATATTTTTTTAGCCTCTATGCAATATTTTTTTCCAAATTCATAACCAAAGAGTAAAATAACGAAAACCTTTTTTCGTTTTGCTTTTGAATTTTGATTTTAGGTATAGAACTACTTAGACATAATTGAGAAGGTTAGGTAAGGTAGCTAGGTAGGCTCATGTACTTATTTCTTCAATTTAAAGGTGTGCATCACATTCTGCCTAGGCGGGAGTCGAACTCATGCCCAGCAGTTGCGCTTGTGAACATTGAACAAACGAGAACAGATTATAAATTCTTAAGTTCAGGTCAACATAGAAAAAACTCCATCTAGATGAATCTGAGGTTTCTTGCTGAGTAGTCGCAAACCTGAGTAGACCTTAAAAATGATTGATATAAAAATATACATCTATACATAGGTACAAGGACGATGAAATAATAATAAAATCGTATGAAAGACAAAACTGTACATTATATCTTATTTTAAAGAATTGGTACTTCTATGATAAGAACAGACTGCGTATGCCATCTATTGCAATATCTGCAGACTACCATCGGAATTAGTGTACTTTCCAGGTTACCGATGATATCACCTTACGGTAATTGTATTTCTAGTTTACCTCTTCATGTAATAGATGCCGCTGACATCAAATGAGAGAGTATAATAGCTGCCTTGGTCTTTTCAATTATTTTTTATATAGGTACTTACTTAGGTAGTATAAAAATATTATATGTATTACTTCAGTTTTTGTAAGCGTACGTTGTCTAGGGCCTGCAGGCCTTCGATGATTTTCCCCCCTTAAAAAAAACGATTATCTTTATCGTATTGTTTCAGTGCTGTGTAGGAATTACTGGTCATGAGCAGAGCCAGTCACGAGCGCTGAATACAAAGAAGACTTGGAGTAAACATCATCACTACGCCGACGCGCATTGTAGAACGACAGGATTTATGTGGAAAAAAATCATCGCATGACTTCTCCGGCTTCTTCTTAGAAAACGACAAGTGAGTGCAAGTTTACCACACAAATAAAACACATTTTTCATTCAATAAATTATATTATATCTCTTTACAATTCAATCATTTTCCTTTTTTCATTATCGTCAAAATATCAACAATTCTCCTTAGACTACGTACAGTTTGTGCCTATCTCACTGTAGTAATATTGTAATCTCAGATATTTACCCAACACTCGCAACCATCATACATTCAATCACCTCACAGCCCTTTCACATGTTACTGTTTCTTTACATGTAATGATTCTTGTTGTATTATGAACATAACTGTGAAACCCTGGCCCAAAATATGAATGAACAAACACAATGAATACAGTACTTCACTGGCTGAAAACAAGTATCTAGCACCAATTTCAATAAAACCTAACATTAACTGTGAAATGAAGTATCAACTGATTGCTATTACGAAATATATGAAAGTAAATACTCATACGTATTCATTGAATTAACAAATTTAAAAGAATTCAGTACTACTTATCCTATGGCATGCACCATTATTTTACTCAGACCCTATTTTATTAACAATTTACACATGAAAGAATTGCTGATTAAACGAATCAATTTCGACACTATTCAATGCCAATACATACCAATACAATGGTAAAAAACGGATTTAATAAGACAAAATTATGATGACGATCTCCTATTCATTATGAATTACACTAAATCGGATTCATTAACATAAATATTTTGTACTCTTCTAAGTTAATGGAAATTCAATTATTTACAATCACATACAAAATTTATAACTAGAGAAATAGTAATAATCATAAGCATGAAAATACTACGCAAATGAGATGAGATTTGGGAATATGTAAATTATTACTTATAAGCACCTACAAAACCTAGTGTTAAGTCTCACTATTTACCTATCCTAAGAAATGTTACAACCCTTAAATAATTATAATATAATACTACAGACTTCTGTTTCAGGATTGTTTGGTTCATATAACTACAAATAAACCAAATTAATAGCATCAATTAAGTATAAAACCTTTAAGTTATAAACGATTAATAATTCGTGTGATGATGAGTCGTTTAATTTGGAAGTTCAATCAAATCTCATTTTCCTTACTTCTCAGAACCAAATGCAAACTACGCCCACTCCCGGTAGAAAATGCCAAAAATCGAACATAATCTAATGAATTCGCCAAATTACGCACGCATTCATACATAAAGCTACATGCTTACGTAAAATATTTATGCGCATATTAAGGCGCCTAAACTTTTAAAGATGTTATTATGGGAGATGACTATGACGCACCTACATTATTATAAATGCACTCGAGCCTACCACGACTCAACAAAATAATTCCAAAATACACACGTCAAAACATAAAAAAAAATCTAAAAAATCATATTTCAGAAAACAAAATCAAAGGACGGTGAAAAGCTAATTCGTCTACTTATGAGGACGCACCGTCGCTCGAGGACAGACGAAGATGGACTCGTCTAGAGAAGACCTCCTTTCCGACCAAACAGTAGGCTCAACGTGCCCAACGCCGACGACTGGGATGAGTGTGCCGGCGCCGTCGGCGTTGGCGCCGGCACACTCGACCCCACCGTGCCCAGGTCCGAGCGGGGCCGCGGCGCGCGCGCCCGGGGCGCTCGTCGCAAGCAACCCGGCGCGCCTGTTGTACTCGCTGTGTCCAGGGCGCCAGACCCAGGGTGGGCCGGAACTCCCAACGGTGGCTCCACGGGCTCTCCGAGACGTCTTTCGGATACCGGCGCAGCCGGCGAGCGTAAGGTACGTTTGAGGCACGTGAGCTGTTCCATGGGGCTCCTATGCATGAGCCCAGTGTAGAGAGAGCCGGGCGTCTGCAGAGCAATAGGTGCGGGCGAGCCGTCACCACCGGGCGACGCCAGATGCCGACGTCGCAGGATGGACGTGCCCGAGGCGATGAGAGCGTGCAGGGAAGGCGGCGCGTCGCCGGGGCGCGGCGAGGCGGGCGGCGTGGAGTCGGGCGAGCCCAGCAGCGGGCTGTTGGCGGGCGTGGCCGTGGGCGTGAAGTGCGCGCGCGAGGGCGGCAGACACACGGAGTCGCGGCGCGAGTGGACGGGCGAGCCGCCGGCCGACGAGCGGCGCGACGTGCGGCGCGAGCTCCAGGCGCTGCCCAGCACGCTGCTGGCGAGGCTGCTCATGCCGGAGCTGCACACGCTGCTGGCGCTGCTGCCCATCATACTGCCGTCGTTGGGGTGCATCACCGTGCTGCGACAGTACACACGAGGTTATTATTCATATTCTCATTAATACAAAAACTACAATTCGCGTCAATTTTCATGTATTGTACCTGTTGACGAAAGTATAAATGTGACTAGAATGTGGTAGGCGTGGCATGTCGTCATCTTCCTCGACATCTGACAGTCTGTAGAGCCGTGTACCGAGCCCTGACGATCTAGAGCCGCGGACACCTACGCCCTCTTGTTCATCTAACAAACCTGAAATAAGAACGTATATTTTAAGATAAAGACAATAAAATTATGAAATAAGTAACAGCAATTTAGTTATAACGTGTACATACCTGACATAGAAGGCTTGGCTAGTTGAGCCCAAGTGTGTAAGGTGAGAGAGCCCTCCATTGGTTTGACAATCTGCAGCTTGTGTGGCGGACGAAACCGCGCCATGCCACCCGCACCGGCACCCCATACAGCACTCTCTTCACTCGAGTCACGCTCTACAACGGTATAAATTATGAAATATCAGTTGATAAAGAAACACTTCAAACAAAGAACTATCGCACTAAACAATCAAACTCATCGATTGTGTAAATAAACATCTTTATCAAGGAATATAACAATAAAGTTATAATTATCTTTAGCATTTTCATAAGAGCTAAATAAACAATCATAAAACGAGTTTCTAGAGTAAATATTTTGTACATTTTTCAGGTAGGTATGGGAAGTAATGTTGTGGTAACGTACCGGTATACCGACGCTGCCTTAGGACATGGCTAGCAGTGAGCGAGGCGCGGCGCGAGTTGATCTCCTGCGGCGTGAGGCGGCGCAGTGCTGCGGCCAACTCCGCGGCCCCCGGGGCGCCAGGCACTCCTACGCCTGGACCTCCACTGTAAAATCATTTTGTAGATTAATATCTGTTAGGCACAGTCTTCAAATTCACAAAGACCCCTGCGAATCTTGCACACATTTCTTCATTGCTTGATTGATTGAGTTTATCGAATCACTTTGAACAAGAAAACACACATACATGTCACGTACATAAGTATATTCATTAATCTCTTTATGCATACTTTATAAATTTTGTGTGAATAGAAATGAGACAAAAACAGTTCTTACGGATACAAGTCGTCCGAGTCAGTATCTGAAGTGTCATCGAGGAAGGAGTCGCTGGAAGGTTTGACAGGCGGCCGCATGAAGGCCGCGCCGGACGACGGACCGTCCGCCACGTCGGACCCGGGCAGCGACGGACCGGACTGAGTCGACCATCGCGATGCACACTGCACGGTCTCAAACACTTTGTGCATGCTTGATCTACAACGAAAAAAGTTATTATAATTAAAATCTGTGATTAAAGCTAGCAAAACAGCCTCACAATTAGTTTGAACACTTTTAACAGTGAAAACTGTTTAACTCGTGGAGTACCGGTTTTATAGACACAATTAAAGAACAATAGGTCGCGGTCACCGGTGACCGCTTGGTGTTTGACAGTTTAAAATGTTTTATAGCATCCAGATTACAATATTTTTGCACACATTAATTATTTAAAGAGAATTCAGGTGATATTAATAAGTAAAGTAGGCTATTGGTGTATCACTATCTCTACCACATATTTTAAGAGAAAGATGGCGATGAAATAACTAGGTTATCTGGGTGATTGAAGAGATAAAAGTATAATTAGAATGGTTATCTATGTTGTATCCCTGAATTAGCGAATAAGGACACAATTTTTTTAATGGAAATAGGTAATCACTTTCATATACTACATTTTCGTACTCTCAGAGGAAAGTACTTACACCATACCACCACATAGGTTTCCGTTTAACAAATATGTACGGTTTTTTCACAGGATATGGTATATGTCCCATGTAATATTCCTGACTTTGTGCAACTAATAAGATTTTGTAAAGTCGGAAATGGACCTATTTCTCGCTTGCGACTTTGCGATTAGTACAGACACTAAAGCTACAAAATATATTTGCAGATGAGATCCTAATTATATTTTTATTAATTTTTTAGGTGTTTTTAAGGTTTTTTTAATGAGATAAGCCGGTAAACGGGCAGACGGATCACCTGATGGTAAGCAATCGGCGTCGCCCATGGACACCCGAAATATCAGAGGCGTTACAAGTGCGTTACCGGCCTTTTGGGGATTAGGAGTTTGAGGATTGTGGGAGACTGGGGAAAGGGGTAATTGGGCCTCCGGTAACCTCACTCACACGACGAAACACAACGCAAGCGTTGTTTCACGTCTGTTTTCTGTGAGGCCGTGGTATCACTCCGGTTAAGCCGGCCCATTCGTGCCGAAGCATGGCTCTTCCACACTTACATACTTAAATACTTATACCACAGGTGTAAGTATTTTAGTTATTTGTATTTACAGTATTAACTCGTTGAGTACCGTCATTATAGACACAATTAAAGAACAATAGGTTGCGGTCACCGGTGACCGCTTGGTGTTTGACAGTTTAATAGGTACTATGAAAGTAGAATAAAGAACTTACTGTGCGAGAGGATCGCCGATGCCAGAATCAAGGCTGAGCTCGGAGTAGATGGAGGAGTGCATCTCTCGGTGCAGACTGGGCGGCACGAGGCCGGCGGCGGCGGCGACGCTGGGCATGAGGCCGCGCACCGCCTCGCCGCGCCGCCGCAGCGCGCGCAGCTGCTCCTGCGCCTCCGACAGGTGCGCCGCCACCTCCATGTACCGCTCCTGTACCAATACATCCGTCTTATTACCTACCATGCTAAATGTAAACAGAATGACCTGAACTACTCCAATATGTCATGTGCTGTGTGCATTATGCGGCATTTATCCAATTCTATAACTGTAAGCTGTATACAGCAACCATTGAAGCTTTTCCATTGGTTAAGATCACTGTAAAACCGTATCTAATTAACACAATCTTGCATAGACATATACTGATATACTGTATACCGATACAGGAAACAGAACCTACTTGAGAAAAACTGTAATTCTATGTATTCAAAGACAACCTAATACTAACATATAATTCTCAACAGAGACGGCGAGTTACTATGTAATTTACTATTTATAAGACGTTATAACAAATAACTGTTGACATGATACGTGAAAGTACACAAAAAATAATCACTTTCAAAATACCTACTGGTCTACTTAGTATTTATAAGATTGTCATCTATCATTATACATAATCAAAACAAACAACTAAATAATCAGTAGCCACAATTACCTTTGTGTCAGCGAGCTCGGCTGCGAGAGCATTTTGATTTTCTTTTGTTATTTCTAATATCCGTAACGTGTGCTCGTGCTCGGCATTTAACTGTGGACAATAAATATAAAAACTATTAATAAAAAATACTTAATACGTTAATATCAACCTACATTTAATGTATAAAAAGGTATCCTTCATTCGTTGCTAAGAAGCCTAACTTTGTTCTAGCCTAGATAATCGGATAGTCTACAGTTTAGAGCTTCGCGTTTCACGTAATCCGGTTTAGGCACGTTCCATTCTAGTGCTATCGATAATTTCAGTTTATAATATTCACGTTTTATGATCGATATCATAAGGTATTTATAATTATCATTAAATTATTTAGCCAATAATGAGATTAAGATAATGATATGTTTTGAAAACGTGAGTCGTATAAGGTACAGTATAACGCAGTCCTGTTTGTCTATTTAATTAAACAGTTATTCATTTGAGTAGCTTTCATTTTATGTGGTGATTCATGTAAGTTATTATAAGCAAATGTGTTTTCATTTCCAAGGAATACGCGACAAAGTTCATATTACATGCGTGTGGTTGGCAAATGTTTTTTTTTTTTCAAATAGGATTATTGACATGCTTTCAACGTTGGTATGGTAGAACGAAACATTTGGCAAACATAACTGTCCCATGTGGCTGGTGTACTCCCAAAATAAGACATATTGTATTTTAAAACAAGACTTTTATGAAAATGTTAACATCGTTTCAAGTTTACCATCTGGCATGACATATGAGGAAATGTCAACCTTAAATAAATAATACACATACCTGTTGATAATTTCTTTCGCTGACGATGAGCCTTGCATTAATATTGTCAAGTTGTTGTTGAAGGTCCACCGAACGTTGCCGCTCCTCCACCAACTCTGACCCCAATACGCTCGCCTCCGAATTCGCACTGGCTGGAAATTTACCAAAAGTTATAAATAGGTGTTGCATAAACACTTTATACTGAAATTCCTGAACCATACTCGAGAAGATTATAAAACTACACTATTGAAACATATATTGCTAAAACAGTAACATCAAATAGAGATGAGTAGTGGTGTACTGTACTATAAACTGCAGCCTTGGAAATTATTGACGACACGTGGAAATTACAATATCAAATAGTAAATACGTATATGATACAATGGAAAGCAAGTTCAAAATGGAATGTCAATATTATTCTATTGTTAACCACCAAAGTAGGTACTACAAATAATATTTGAATTGATAAAAGTGCTGGATTAGTCATGTATTATGCTGTTTTCTACCTAAATACATTGTTTCTCTAGTGATTTTGAACCGGTCAAACTGATATCTTCAACCCGCCTGTCGAATGTGGAGATTATGTCAAATCCCTCTTAAATAGAAGAGGGTCATTCACCAGCAGTGGACTGCTGGAGCTGTGGATGTGTATGATCTTCTAAGTTCTTTCTTCCCACGTCGATAAGAAGCATGTTGAAACAAGTATGGTCTGACAGGGTGCAAACCTTAAGAGAAAACACGCTGCTAGGCCACCTTGAGTCACCAAGCTCATACTATTCAATTCTTGAACGATTTTTCTTTATTCTTCGTTTTATATTCAGCTTCCAGAACAAGGACATTTACTTGTTTTCATATGTTTATAATGCAACAACACTCAATCAAATCATATCAAATGACAGAATGAATTCTCAGTATAATTAATAAATATTTAAATATCTTCTTTGATGTCTGATATAAATATAATTATATAGAAATGATATCAATGTAGTTGCATTTTAAGCTTTTATTATATTTATGAATCTAAAGCTAGATAACATCATGTAAATATGAAATAAATAAGACATTATACAGTAGACTTTCCCTTCATAAACAAAATTAAACTATTCAAATAAATGTACTTACAATAATAGTAATTTAATAATATAATAAACTCTAACGACATGCGAACGCAAAGATTTGAAAATGACTTCCGGCACTACTATTCTGTGTAAGTTGTTATTCTAGTTTGTCAATGTCACCATTTGCTATAAAAAAAAACTTAAGAACAATCACAGAGGATTGATTCTGAAACTAACGTAAGCGATTTAGATAAACATTTGCTGAAGAAATAACAGGGGACAAGACGAGTTAATAGTTTTGTTTGCCCGCATTTGCGTAGGTTAATGTTTCAAGCTCCATAGTAACGACTGTAAAAGTAATTATGTAAAATCCTACAATTTTCCACTTAAACCCAAGACTAAATTAGTTATAACGGTAAAATGAACTGTGTTGATATTACTAAGTATAGCTAAATAATACCTATTTTTGTAATTTGACATTGGATAAGACCCAGGAAATTCTCGGTATACGGTATGGATCAGTAGATAAATGTGTAAGTCATTTTGTTTATAATTATGTTTATCAGGAATTTTAGATTATTTTTAGGGTATTTACTGTGTGAAAGTACGTAATAAAATTCAAGATTAATGAAGATTAAAATAAAATTTTAAGACTTTGGACTTACACATATCATAATTAATTAGTAAATAGTGATTCGTCCATTAATACTCCGTGCTTTTATACAAGAATATAAGAGGCAATTTAATTTAATACATAAGAATTATGTACAAAATAATTACTAACAACATTGCTGACCTCATTAACGTCTACGATATGTATATCATTATCTAAGATAAGATTTATAGTGTCACATTATCATGTTGTCTGAAAAATTCATTACAACTGTTATGCCAGAATACGAAACGCTACCCAATTTTAATTCGCGCTTAAGTATATATAGTTCTGTCTCTGCAAATTATTTGTAAAATAACAGAGACGGCACTTCAGTATTCGGTCTGTATACGTCTTAAAGCATAAACTATTAATTTATTTAATTTAATATCAGCTATAGGGTACCTATATAACAATAAAGCCTTAAGTGGAATGTTTAAAATATTTATCAAACATCTAGAATCCAGATAGTCTAATTTATTATGTGTTAAAGTGGGCCGCAAATCCTCTTGTAGGTCGTTCGTTTGACTGATAACGTTAATCAACGACCTTCTAACAACTAGACGAAACAAAACAATCGTACAACGTTCGCAATTTGCTTAGTGCGCCATAACAGCGCCGTCTACCAAGACACAGATAAATAATAGTATTACATAAAGTAATATTATCATCTTCACATAGCTTGCGACATAACTCAATATCATTGATTGAACATAAACGCTACTATCGTTAAGAAAACTAGCCGGGGTTTAATAATATATCCAATTGCGTTGACACGTCGTGTGTTGAAATATTACACTTATATTCTTAGCATACTACACACACAGACATAGACTGTATAAATAACCTAAGTGATCGACCTTTATAAAGATAAGTAATACGCACCTGGTAGATATCGGAAGGGATTTTAAGTAAATATTCATAATTTTAATTTGAACAAGTTCCCCGTTACTCTATTCATATTATAACTTGGAAATTATATTGTTAAGTTACGTAGATAAAGGTAAAAGATCACAATGTAATGAAATACCGTAAATGTCAATTTCGCCGGCATGGCATTTAAAGACAGCTATTATGTATTAACAAACGGCAAAAGAACGTCGTGAGAATAATCTTAACATACGGAATCGTGGTGGTGGATGTAGTAGGAAGTGAAGTTTCATTTAACAAAGATAATTACACCATGATGGTTCGCAATACTTAATACATAACATACTAACAATACTTTACAATCAGATAAACAAAAATAATCTTGTTTAAATTACACATCATTAAAAAAAACGCACCTTAGAACCTGAAGCTTCTAGAAAAATAGAAAATTCTGTCACCGATAAAGAAATACGTGAACCAATCGGAATTTGACACGGCACACCATATCATTACTTAAAGACTTGATAACATTCCAAAGTTTAGTCAAGAGTTCAGAGTCTTTTCTATATTATACCTATACTAATTTCTTTAAATGATTCATTCCCATGTTACCTGTTAAGTAATCACAAATACATAGGCTGCTAAAATGTAGTCTAGACTCCCAAGCTAAACAAATGGTATAGATAGATGTAAGTCAAATCGAGTCATTAGAAATTCAATTTAAGCTTGCTTGGCATAGCTTTGTCAGGACTCCGTTCCATATTATACTGACTTTATTTACTTCAATTGCCCTTTGGTTCATAGCTGGCAAGCAAAAAGGAAAATAACCCAGATTTCATTAGCGAGATAATGTCTGAAGTCTAATAGACCTTGAGAAGGTCACGGTACGGGGGAGTTAATGTAGGAAGTTAAAATAAGTGGTGTCTTACCGAGCTGGTTGGCGATGTCCCTAAGTAGCTGTCGTTCAGCCAGCTCTGCGGTGTCGGCGCCGGCGGCGAGGCGCGCGGCCTCCTCGCGCAGCGCTCGGTTCTCCCGCTCGAGTGCGCCCGTCCGCTTCCGCAGCAGCGCCGCGTTAGCAGCCTCCTGCTCCTCGGGAGATGAGCACTCCTCTGTGTCATTGGTCAAAACCTGCACATACCATCATTTCTTTTTTAATTATTTTACCCTCATTAGCCGAAACATATCTAGTGTTGAACAAAAGGCAGGGAAGGATTGGGGACTTTAATAAACTAACCAAAAAGTTATGCCTACCCGTCCCTTAGTGGCTGGCTACTACTCGAATCAATCAATTATTTATCTCGCAATTTTAATAACTCTTCCTGTAGATACCCCTTTAACCCGTTGGTTCGTCAATGTCGTCACGTCGACTTCGTTTTACTTAACGGTCAAAATCTTTCAGAGTATGTATTAAGTCGACACTAAATTTCCCACAAGTAATTTTTTAACTTTATGCATAGGTAAGCCAGTTGATTTTCCTTGACAATAAAAGCAAGAGTGATATCATTATAAGGATAAGAATTATAAAAGGTTACTCACGTGTTTATGTTCAACGTGAAAATAAGAACTAGATATAACTATTTGTATTAAAATATCAACTATTATCTAAGTGCCATCATAAATATTTTACTTTATTTTCAAGTCCAAAGCACTGAACCTTCTTAATGAATTTATGAGGAGTGATAGAGGGCGACTCGTGGGAGTTACAAGTTAAAGTTTATAGAAGCTCGCAGTTCCACTAAATCTTTATTACCGCGGCCGAAAATGCTGCAAAAGCTAGTGGAAAATATAAATTTGGCTTCGCCATTTTTACCACGACTTTTTTAATGGCAATAAAAATCATGAACAAAGCAATGTTTAGTTCCTATTCCTACAGTTATCGCAAGATCTTAAGGTTTGTTTTGAGGAAATACAAAAGTTTAAAATCATGTTTACCTGTAGTAAGTCTGTTTTTGCGTTGAGGTCGTGCCTCAGCTGAGTGATGTGATCCCGTGCGCTTCGCAGCTCGCCCTCGAGCGCGGTGACTCGTGCTTCCAAACGACCATTAGCAGTCAACAATTCCTTACCGATGCGAGCCGTTAGCTCTAAATCTTTTTCTTTCTGCAAAGGATTAAATTACATTAGTAAGAAAATATTTAAATATCCTATGACTTTGTTATTAGTGCTAATAAATGAAATGTAACTCCCAACGCTGATTCTATGCGGCCAAAGTGAAATAAAAATAAAAAGGCGCCAAATATTAAAGCGAAAGGCATAAGACCTAAGTATGGCAGAGTAAAACTCGTACATAAATATACTGAATACAGACTTGTGACATAAACCAGTTGGCAACCAACGTAGAGTTACCTTGAAGTCCTTGGACTCAAATTTACGCAACTTCTCAAGCTGAATTACATTAGCAAAATAAACAGCACACTTACTTCTTCTAAGAGCCGTGTTACCGCTTCGATGTCATTGTAGGTTTTTGTCATTTGGCTCACCCTGTTGCTGCATAGAACTGCAAAAAGAACACGGCCATGTAGCAAACGGCACAGTCTATGCTAGGTAAACATAGCATTTCTAAAGCAAGCGCAAATTATATACAGTACATGGTACAGGAATGTGGACATACAATAATGTGGCTTAAGTGTAGATACAAGTAATCATACTTTATATTATCTGTGTCGATGAAGATTAACTGAAAGTGTTTTCATTGATTGTGTAAGTGCAGTTTTATTGATACATAAACAAAAGTGCCTACAACTTATTATCTACACCTGGAATCTTTCACATTAATTTTGAAAGGAAATAGTCAAGTCACTCTTAGGAATTTGAAGTGTAATTGTATGTTTTTTTCATTATATAACAATTGATTTAATCTAATTGCTTTCAAATGTTTTTGCTAAACACTCCGCAAACGTGATAAAATGCGTTCATAGTTTATAAACGGTACGAATGTACGATCAATAAAAAATAAATCTATCACCACTAAAACTATCAAATGACTGAGCTTAAAGAAGACACAAAAACGATGTGTCTGTCCGGTAACGTTTCGATACGGCTGTGTAAGAAATAAAAAAAAACTTATGAGGTTATACCTCTTATAACCGATGACTAATAGGCGTGTCGTATAGTACGTTACAAAACATACTCCGTCAAACGATTACGATACTTGTGGCTAGTCTGTTGACTGAGTATAACCACATGGGAGACTTATAGTAAAAATGTTGTGCCAGAGAACCGGATCTGACCAGATTGAAAAGTACATTCCTGGGGTAAGCTTATTACTGATACCAAACACGATCAAATAGATATCAGATAAATAGCTTTCATTGCTTTAATTAAACTCAAGATATCGAGACTTGTTTCTTCTTGATTAATGCTGAACACAATTTAAATATACGTTTTTATTTTTAGTTACTTTACAATATACATTTAGATTGCGATTATATTAAAGATAATTTCTTTATAAAATCCTGGATTAATAATGTATTTTTCATTTTTGTAGTATAGTATTTTCAACAAGATATTTTTAGCATTATTGGCCAGACGCTAGACTGAATCTGTGTAACATCAGTCTGATAATTTTATTTAAGATCTAATCAAATAGAAACGCTTGCGCTAAAACATCACGACCACTTTACACACATTATGTCAACCTTCAAAATAACCCTAGACTGGGGTTTTCATTGCTCAGCGCTCGATAATATTATTGTCTACATCATTACATTGGAACCTAATTTTGTCTCTGTTCTGAGAAAATCGACTAGGAACTATTATACAAATTACGTTTTAAAATAACAAACTTCAATAAGTTTAAATAAAATATTGGAGACTTTTATTCTTAGGCACTTCAATCTCGCCCGTAACCTTCCTAAGATAATCCTCAAAGGGGCCACAGACTATCAATATTTTATATTTGAAAGTACCAAAATAGCTTCAGAGACTAAATTCATCTTATAGCCGTCCTATTAATACAACAATCGATCGGATGGTGACCTAGATGTGGTTTATATACCGCAACATAGGTTCGTGTTGAGCTAAGTTAGACTTAAATTTTTTACTACTTTAGGGAACAGAGAGTATAGTTCCCTAAGATCGGAAAAGGAGGATCCTCCGACCAGACGAGGTGATCGTGCCTGGCGGGCTTTCTGCCCGACAGTTGTTCGTTGGGATTTTCTATCCGTGTTTATTCGCTTGTAAACTTTGCATGTGCGATGTAGGATTCTTGTGACGTCATCAGTTGACATGTGGCATGCGTCGCCACATCACTCCCTCCCAAGACCGGAGGTCGATCCCGCTGAGACGGCTGTCGATGCTGGAGATGAGCGGTGCCAGAGCCAGTGTAGAAAGTCCCTAGTTCCAGTGAGTCGGAACTGTGCCGCTGAGTGCCCAGTGAGTCGGGTGAGCGGTGCAGGGCGATACTCCAGTGAGTCGGAGAGATGAGTTCGCAGTGTCCCACGGTGAGTCGGGGAAGAGATGCTGCGAGGGGGTGGTGCGTAGTGGCTGGCGTCTGCGTTGACGGGAGGAGATGTCCTTCAGAACCGTGTGCAGAAGTGCTGTGCCTAGACGCTGGTGAGGCCGTAGGGAAGAACCAGGCTGCACATCTTCGTTGCAGACGATGGCGGTCCCTGATGAGGCCGAGGATGCTGGTTGGCTGCGACTTGATTACCGCTCAGCGGAGAAGTGATGAATGAGAGGGATGGCGATACGGATGACGGTGCTAATCTGCTCCGTGAAGTGAAGGTTGCTTCCAATCACGTCGGGGTCACCACTTTAGGGAACAGAGTGTATAGTTCCCTAAGATCGGAAAAGGAGGATCCTCCGACCAGACGAGGTGATCGTGCCTGGCGGGCTTTCTGCCCGACAGTTGTTCGTTGGGATTTTCTATCCGTGTTTATTCGCTTGTAAACTTTGCATGTGCGATGTAGGATTCTTGTGACGTCATCAGTTGACATGTGGCATGCGTCGCCACACTACCTACCCGAAGTGAAGAGAAATCATAAAATTCAGAATAAAATTTATTATTTAGGTACATACAATATTGCCGATTATGTTGCAATGTGTAAACATAAATTTTACCGGCTTTTATAAACGCAGGAAAATAATAATAGAAGAAAAACATTAAAACAGTCTTAAATCAATACAATAGATTGGAACGCACAAAAACTGTTTTATTGCACTATTCAATCGATCGAAACGATTAAAAGGATAAAATATAGAAGCTTTGTCATTAGAAGGATAAAAATTACAACACTACTTCCAAGAACAGAGAAATGATTTTGCAGAAAAAATATGGATCTGCGTAATTTAGTGTTAATCAAAGTCATAATAAAGAATAAAAGTATAGATTCCATTTTGCTGTAGAAAGTTAGAAAAATACAAGTGTTTTTGTAAGTAAATCACAACTATTTACTTAATTAAAATTTAAAATATCGAACCCGTGCTAGTTGAATAACTCGGTGTGTTTATAGTGCTGGTAATCCCACACGAACAAGGTTTGTAAAAACGTTTGCACGTTAAAAACATGTCTAAGCTTAATTTTTGGTCTTTCGTGCATGATATTACGTTTTAAAACATGCAAACGATCACGGTAATTGGCCACAGACACATTAGGCTAATAATAGTCCAATAATTTGTAAAACACTAAGTACTAAAATCACAAAGGATCACAAAACATCGTGTAAGCACGCACTATAAACACCGAATAACGTTTACATTTGCCGCTTGCCCGCTTCAATCACATTGATAAGATATCATTGAATTTTAAATTTTGCGCTCTTTATTTACCATTCACCTATTGTGATTACAATTACTTGTTCTACTTATAAGTTATCTACTAACCCGGGGGTACATCATGTGTATTTGGCCTCTGAGCGTTCATCGAACCCCTATTGTTCAAACTGTATATGCAACATTACACATGAACCCAGCGGTTCGAGGAACGGCACTGACTATAGATGTTGCATCGATAAACAACACTAGTACTACACTAGCAACGTTAACGACAAAACGACAAATACGAGCGTGAAGTTCCCGATCAACTTAGTGACTGCGGAGCAAGCGTACTACGCAATGACGTGTGGAGCTGTGTATTCCATGGCGCTCTTGCGGAGGGCAGACAAAACACACATTTCTATTGTAAATCTATTCTGTGGGAACACTCGAGTTACAAAACAAATACACATCGACATTTTTTACATAGATACAGAACAGATTACTTGACGATTTTTAATGTTTCATTAAACGCATTGTCTCGGTTAAATCGCTTTCGATTCTCGCGAGTTTTTTTTATAATGTACTATTAGCATTTTATGTTAGTCTCTCAATGCAGTAAAATAAGTCATTAACACATAAACTGCTAAAGAAAACGCATCGCAGTTTATCGCAGGTACCTGGTCAGTAATGTCTTATGTCGCACATTTTATGAAGATGAGCGTTTTAACGGTACACAACATAAACATTAACGAGCTACAAAATGCTATAACAGCGAAGCTGCTTTCCAGAGTAAAAAGCTTATGGGAACTGGCTGATATAATAGCTCCATTGAATACGACGCAGGCGCAGGTAGGCGAGTGTTTCCCAGTCTTACCTAACTGTGCGACTACAACGGATATTGATTGTGTTCGTACACAAGATACTGAAAGACTTTCACAGTTTTTGTTACTTATTTCCATCAAGAATTAACTCAGTGCTGCCATCTTTGTGGAGATAAACAAATATGTGCATAATTTTAAAACATTTCATAAAATTAAAGTATGCTGAATTATATAAAACATATTGATCTGAATTCAACTGACAAAATAAGAGTTTAGTTATCCATATTCAGAACCAAGCCATAACAGATTCGTCAAAATTGCAACTTATTACATACTAAGAAAAAAATAGAACTTCAAAATCTGGCAAGTTTGGGAAGTTGCAATTAATAATTGTTAGGTCATACAATCAATAAACAGAAGTTGAGGTCTTATTAGAATGCTGTATATAATAATTTTTATCAACTTTATTGTTTTTAATTTATGAGAAGAACACAGTATTTAATTAATGACATCAATTAGTAAGCAATGCAGAGGGAGTTAGTAATGTAGTATGTCATGGTGGTTAGTACTCTTAGTATCAAAATTTTGCTGAATTATTGTCATCAGTAAAAATTGGTGATTGGAAAAATATTAGGCACTTGATATCATTATCGTGATAACGTAGCAGTACAAGCACAACTAAAGGAAATGATATGCAAATCACCGCGTTGCAGAGAACAAGAAAAGCGCGATGATATTCAGACAATAGGGAGGTTGCAGAGAGCGATGAGGTGATCGAAAATGAAAATAGTACCCATCTACATGATGATATAGGTACCTCTATCAAGGAGCAAGGTCCTGATGACGCGAAAGTAAAGTCGGCCAAATTTGTCCCGAGCGACGTGGTACAGGAAGTCTGGGTATTCTCCGAGACACTCGCGGAGCTCCGCGTCGGGCAGGTAGCTCAACTCCTG